GTGGACTTCTGGGATTGCTTGCAATATTGAAGAAAGCCGTCTGAATGCCAGCATTTTGGAGTCGGATGGCGATGCTTGCAATGCAGATCGTGGGATTTACAATAATTATGTATTTAACAAATTAACTCATATACAAGTATGTCTTGTAGCTGCATTTTGCATGCACGGATTAGCACTCATTGCAATCCAACCAATTCTATGCCGCGAGCGCTCTGATCATATTCCGGTTCCAGTTTACTTAACCAAAATTACTCATCATTAACTTGACTTTCACAGGGAAAAAAGCAACAGACACTGGAGGCAGAAATTGCAAGATCATAAGACCTTTTATGATTATAACAGGCGTCTGCATCATTTGGATTACATGTACATGTTTCCACTAATTGTTCGTCTTTGGAGTGATCTATAGAACTTTCCTTCAAACATGCTTCTTAGAGGAAGAAAACTAATGCAACTTGTCACAGCATAATATAACAGTTCATTCCTTTATTCCAGCCATGGTTAACATGAGCTCGTGCCAGTCCTTCTTGTTACCACCCGGATTTCTTTCACCTGTTAGAACTTCAATCAACCTAAAATATCGAAAATGTTACAAGAACCTGTCACATACATGAACTCTATATTATCATTTATTTCTCGAGGGCCAATCCTTTTTTAATCCTATGTTACATTTTAATTTCCTGGTTACCATCTCCTTTTCTCGTCGCATTGATTATTATTTTCAATGTATGACCGTTGTGAAAGCACACAACCGCGTCTCCAATCTCTTTCTTCCTCGGTGATATCTGAAAACCAGGCCTGAGAACAAATCTGTGAATGTTTGATACTTGTTTTGGTTTTTACAAAAAATTTGCAAAAAAAAAAACTTTGGGAAACCTTTTAAACACTTCTGCGAGAAATACTAAAAAAAGTTTAAGGGAACCCACGATCGTCAGGCGGTCTCTGTGACACAGCTATTTTAAAACGCTCTGAATTATTCATGTCTGTTCTAAGACACACTCACCTTACTGTAGATATGAGAAATACAAAGATGGATACTTTCTGTTCACTCTAGGACAATGTTGCTATGGATCTGTCTTCCATTCAGTGGCATAACGTTTCGAAAGTTATTGCACATACGACCAACATTTGGACCTTGAGCATGCGCCTTGCTGCTCTTTAGATTTCGGAATGCCATTATCTATTTTCAAGATGAAAAAACAGCGCTTGGATTAAAAAAATCTCTAAAAGTTCCTCAGGTTTGAATCCTTCAAGTGGTTTGAAACTTTCCGTTGTTTCTTTTAAAATCTTGACTCTTAACGTTAAGAGTGACGAAGAGATAGATTATTCTTAATTTCTGAAATGGGATTTGAAAACTGGGAAGGAGGACAGTCAAATTTTTGCGAGTCTTCGTGTTTTCGATGACTTCACATTGTATATAACTTTACACTGAGAAAGCCATCCTCCCAAAGTTTTCCTTCTTCAAGAAATCTAAGGTGTGATGTTGGAAAATATTTGTGTAAAGATGATTTCTTACTTCTTGCTCTGTTATTTGTGGATGATTGTTCATCACAAACCACGTGACCGATTCATAACACCCAGGAGTCGTGAGAGATCCTTTGTATTTGTAAAACCTGTCTGCAACATCCGGGGATACGAGTAATGGTGCCAAGTCCTCGATATGCAGCCCCTCGCTTTGTGTTACCACGTAATTGCTGTCTATTTATGAAAAGACGGGGTAAAATATGGTTAGTATGATGATAGAAACTGAGAGCTGAATTTTGTCTCGATCTCGACCCAGTCCCCCTCATTCGCTTCAGTCTATCGCGAACAAAAATACTGAGTTATA